TGAATGAACTTTAATAATACATTTTATATCAATCAATATCTACAAATATTATTTCAACGTATAATCAAAGTAAAAATTTAAAGCAATATTTAACTTTTTTTGGTATGAAGTCTTTGAAATCTGTGTGTATTTATACTGGCAGCAAGTCTTAATGTGAGTTCGCCTCATTTCCAGTGTGCCATAGGCGTATGTGGCTGGTGGCTATGGTAGTGAGCAATGCAGTTACAGACAATGAGACCTGGAAGTCCAGCCACTCAAGTTTGCATGGGAGAATTTGAGGAACTCTTAGGGGACCGTAACTTCCCAGCCTCCAAAATGCTGCATAACTAGTATTGACCTACAATATAATAGTTCCAACACTGTTTCAATTGTACTTGTCATTTCTAACATTATTTCTGTGATATAAATTAAAGTCTGGATATAAAAAGTATTCTTAGAGGTGGATTGAATAAATTCTCCTAATGAACCAGAAATTAGTAAATGGGGAGAGAGAACATTTTATATCTCAAAAGTAATTCAGAGTGGAAGGAGCTTTAGATGGAAAAGCCAGGAATGATTTATTATCCTGACAAAACCAGCCAGACATGGACATAGGTAGGGGTTATACCACCTCCATTCTGGAACATAATCAACATTAAAAAAATTATTTGATGAATCTCTACCTAAACCCACCCTGCTCACCTGCCTTTGGGAGAGCCTCAAAAAAAAATTCAACTGCAAATGAGATGTGCAATTTTATGGTCTGTGAACAAGGAATAATATTTGAAATCCCTGAATTTAGAAACTGTTAGGTATTGTAGAACACAGTGCTTCTTGCTAATACAATAAAAAAGAACATTTATATCATCTGCCAATGTGATGACTTAAGTAACAGAGTAACTACATCTTTCCCCACAATATTATTACAGTGAGCACAAATTCTCATCCTATAAGTAAATATCAAACACATTTCCACCTTTTTCATCCTATAAGTAAGTATCCAATACACTCCTACCTTTTAGATGCTTTAAAAAAAAAAGTAACGGTAAGTAATGGCAGAATACCAGTGCTACTTTATTTACCCAAATTATTTCATAAAAATGTAAAATTGTTGGATAGATAACGATTTAAATTATGAAGGAAATGTCTAGGAGAGGGATTTTCTAACAACAAACTTTGGAATAAAAAGACTTCAAATTTGTGATGGATTGAGCCTCTTAGTAGAGGAAAAATGTGATTGAAATAAATACACACTGATCTTTAGGAACAAGCAAAATAAGGAACTACTGAGTGGTCAGATTTTAAGATCACTTGGAGGGCACCCTCAAATCCCTCCTGAACACTCCAGTGTTAAAGCATTCTTAGAAGCTTATTTGTCTAAAGGTTCCCCAGAGAAATGGCAGTGTGCTACAGAGCTGACACTGTACGTTGGTATCAGTCATTTTTACAAGGTGTGAATGAGAAAAAACACAATGAAAGTCTCAGTCCTTCCTGCTTCCCGCCCGGTCTCTTCCACACGCTCTGCCTCTGCTCCTCCCTTCTAAAGAAAGTCGCCTAGGCTCTGCTCAAGACCTCCTTTCCATTCCTATTGCCTTTAATTTGTAGGCGGAGGCTCAGCAAAAGCATTCAATCCCCTGTTTTGTAAATTTCAGGAGGAATAGCTTACTTGTGATGATTTTTGGCCGCACGTCCTCTGCTCCATCTTGCCCGGAACTCAGACTGCTTCTCTGATCCCAGCTCATCCACTTCGCTCACTGCCAGCCATGGCCTGGCCTGATGATGACTCGCCTGATGAGGAAGGGAGATTCAGAATTACAGCACTTGAAAAGGGAGAGCGGCAGAGAACCCACAACTAATTAGAATTTCAAAAGACAAAGGAATTGACTTAGGTTCTAAACATAGCAAGGGCTTGAGGGCTGGGTAGGTCGAAAGGGTGTATTTAATAATCTGAATATATGACATAGTGGCACTAAAAGTAGTGAATGACTGAATTCTAAATGACAGTAAAATGAAGCGTGGGACACATGTGAGAAGGAGCCATGGAAAGGCTTTAGATAAGAAATAAATAATCATGGAGGTGCATAGCAAAACAGCTCAAATGATGGTGAGTGATTTCATTGCACTTGGGAAGTTTTTTCCTTTTAATCTCTAATTTTCAGAGGTTATTTCAAGTGCTCTTTCCATCCTTGCTTCCCTCACCCAAAATCCTAGGGGAGAGCATTTGATTGACCACGCTTAGGTCACTTGCCAGCTCCTTGGCTTTGTCACAGGTAGGGGAAGTAGGTTCTGTCAGCTCTTCCTGGCTTCTGTCATTGGAGACAGGAATCTGGAGTTACTGAACCATCAAGACTATACACACTGGGAACTAGGAAATTGTGATGCTATTAGGGAGGGGAAATGGATGCACGACAGCAAAACAAATCAACCAGACACACATCTGATAAATGTTCCGTACAGTTCCTCAGTCTTGGACTATTTCCTCATCATATCCTATTGTTCATAACATCAGTACAATTAAAAA